AACCCCAAAACCCCAAAACCCCATGAAGAAGAAATAATAAATAAAGTGACCATTAATTTTAAGATATATTTATCTCTAATTAATTATTATAAATCTTAAAAAGGGTCAAAATAGGTTTAATAATTATAATTCATTTTCAAATCTAGCGATAAAAATATATCACAATCTAGATGAGTACGGAGGAATCTCTTGAAGAACATAAATAATAGCTGCTTGAGAATCAAAATAATATCAAGCAGATAACTGTTGATGAATTAAGGTAAATGCTTTATTGCCTTATCCCTAAATTATTACAATAGTTTTATGTTTCATCCAGATAATCTAAGAAACATCAATCTAAATAGCTCTTTGATAAGTTTAAGTCTAAGTCATTTCTTATAGACTTTGGGAGGGCCATCTGGCCTCATGAATTCATTAAAGACATCATTGAATGTAAATCAAGATATGATAAATGATTAAATAGTAAGGGATTAAAGACTCTGCAAATGATATTCAATTAAGAAAAGAAAGGTATTTCATTTTGCAATTTATAGACAATACTAAATCGATTTTAGGTATGGAGTAAACAAAAGGCGAATTCCTAGGATAAAAAGCATATTTGAGATTATGATAGAGCCCTTGAAAGATAAACTTATCATTATTTTGCTGATAGCAGCTCTATTTTCTACTGTAATTGGAGTTATATAAAACCCTAGCCTTGGTTGGCTCGATGGGGCTTCTATTTTCTTTTCAGTGGCAATCATAGTAATTGTGACTACTATCAATAATTATGCATAAGAGTTGAAATTTTAAAAATTAGTAGCGAAGGCTGCTGTTGATTATGTTGCTGTCTACAGAGGAGGATATGGAGTGACCAAGACTATCCCAGTAATAGAACTTGTAGTAGGAGATATTTATTAGATTAATCAAGGAATGAGAATACCTGCAGACTCAATTTTGCTTGAAGGTATTGATGTTTAATGCGATGAAAGTGCAATGACTGGGGAAAACGAAAGTGTCATAAAAACTCATGTTTCACTATAAAACTTTTAATCTAATCCAGATCCTTTCCTTATAAGCAAAACGCTAGTTGTAAATGGACTAGGTAAGGCCTTAGTTTGCGCTGTTGGAATAAATTCGAGATCAGGAATGGTTGAAGAAAAGTTAAACACTGTAACATCTGAGACGCCTCTTCAGAAAAAACTTGGAACTTTAGGTAATCAACTTGGCAAAATTGGAGTCATTTGTGCTTTAACAATAATTATTGCTGGAATTGGGAATTTCATTATTAGAAGATTTATTGATAGCAGTATTGGCTGGTTTGGAAACGAAGAGCTTACATCTTCATCCCTGGAAGAACTTACTTCTATTGTAATATTAGCAATCACTCTGATTGTAGTTGTTGTACCTGAGGGACTTCCACTTGCAGTGACATTATCTTTTGCATTTTCAGTAATGAAAATGAAAAAAGAAAACAATTTAGTCAGGAATCTCCAATCATCTGAAATAATGGGAGGTGTCAATGAGATTTGCACTGATAAAACTGGAACTTTGACTACAAATCAGATGACAATAAGAGAGTTCTATGCTTAAGAATAGGTGTATATTGGAAGACCTAGCAACTTTAATTAAATGTCTATATCAAAACTAATCAAAGAAGGAATCATTTATAACTCTAATGCTAGGATTGAAAAGCAAGATAATGGAGAACTATAGGCTTTTGGCAATGTGACTGAATGAGGATTGCTTAGGTTTTTAATTGACCTATAAACTCAATGTTTTGATGAAATGGCTTATAAATCAGATTTTATCCTTTGCCAAATACCTTTTAACTCATTAAGGAAGAGAGCTTTCACAGCCATTAGACACCCTGAAGATCCAAATCTTGTGAGAGTTTTCTGCAAAGGAGCTCCTGAGGTTGTTTTAAAACTTATATCGAAGTAAATTGACAAAGATGGATCTGTAACATAGATATCCACTTTAAAAAAGGATGAAATAAATGCTAAAATTGTTAATGAAACCTTTGCAAAGAGAGCTTTTAGAACAATCATGCTTGCTTACAGAGATTATTCATTTCAAGAATTTGATAGGATCAAAGAATAGAACAATAACTTTTAAAGTGAGCAAGATAGAGAGGCATTAGAAAATGAACTTACATTAGTTTCAATATTTGCCCTTCAAGATCCATTAAGAGATGAAATTGTTCAATCGATTAAAATTTGCTATCAAGCTGGAGTTAATGTCAGAATGGTTACAGGTGATAATCTTGAAACAGCTAAAGCTATTGCCTTGGAAGCTGGTATCCTTAGATAAGAGGATTAAGATGATGAGTACGCTTGCTTGGATGGAAAGATGTTTAGAGAAGCTTGCGGAGGAATGACTAAAATTGAAACAGAAAATGGGTTAATTAAAGAGGAAATAGTGAATGGAGAAATTTTCAAGAAAATAGCTAAAAGATTGAAGGTGTTAGCTAGATCAACTCCTGAAGATAAATACATGTTAGTAACAGGATTGAGAGATTTAGGATCAGTTGTAGCAGTTACAGGAGATGGAACTAATGATGCTCCTGCTTTGAAAAAAGCAGATGTTGGCTTTTCAATGGGAATATGTGGAACTGAAGTAGCTAAAGAGGCTTCAGATATTATACTTTTAGATGATAATTTTGCCTCAATAATCACAGCTTTAAAGTGGGGAAGAAATATATTCAGTAATGTGAGAAAATTCTTGCAATTATAGATTGTGATTAGTGCAGTAGCTGGCTCTATTGTGTCAATAGCGTCAATTGCATTACCTTCTCATTCTCCTCCTATTAACTCAATAGAAATGCTATGGATAAATCTCCTCATGGATACACTTGCAGCATTGTCACTTGCAACTGAATAGCCTAATGATCATCTTCTTGATAAAATGCCATATACCCGAGATGAAAGCATTATTTCTCCTTTTATGTGGAGAAATATTTTCTCTCATTCTATTTATCAATTTGTGATTCTATTGGTTATACTATTTGCAGGGTAATCCATGTTTATCACAATTGGCCCATATGATAATGGAATGTACCTTTATGAAGATGGAGTTCCTACAGTCAAGGCAAGACATTTCACATATCTTTTTCATACTTTCGTCATGCTCTAACTATTTAATCAGATTAATGCAAGGAAGATTGAACCCCAAGAGATGAATGTCTTCAAGGGAATATTCTAGAACTACTATTTCTTAGTTCTATGGGCGATCAGCTTTATCTTCTAGATACTTTTAGTTTAATTCGGAGGTTAAGTCTTCAAAACTTGCCCACTCAATATCTAGGAACATTTAATTTGCATCGCTATTGGAACAACTAGCTTATTATTTGGTATGAATTTTAATTTAACTTTACTAGGGCTTTTTGTTAAGAAGTTTGTACCATTACATTGGTTCACAAGAATTGTCATTAAACAAGAAGCACTTTCTGATGAAGAAGAAAAATCTTCCATTACCGCAATGCTTAGAAAAAGTTACAGATAATCAGTAGAATATTAGAAGCAATAAATTGATAATTTCAACAAGAGCTAGAGTATAAGAGTCCTAGCTAAGAATTTCAGGAAAAATTAATCAATGTCAATTCATGCTGAGAAATTAGATCTTAAATCAATATCCATGAACCTAGGGAAAGACAGAAGAATAGACTACTCTTAAGCTAATAAGGATATTTCACCCACCTCGATTAACAGTAGGAAGTTACGATTATTACATTGATATTAAAACAGACAATTACTTCTGCTTTTGATTTATTTTCGAATTAGAATTTATTATCAATATTTAAATCTGATTCTGCCTACTTGATATTGCGGGGTTTTGGGGTTTTGGGGTTTTGGGG